CAAATGTTATGGGAAAAAAATGCCCTGATAAAACACCTCTGTTTCAGCTTCATTCTGTCTCACTCTTCATGATGTTTCGTAATTATGTTGCAGAAAAAAATAAATGAATGACCCAACTGAGGGGGCAAAGTTCCTATAGCATACTATGCTATGAAAGATGCATCAGAACAACAAATTATGTCTCATTGAAGAATCTTCAATTGCTGCTGTTAATGAGAAGGATTAATTTCTGATAATCTACTACATTCTTGGATTAAAACTCAAACAAAAATTGTCAGAAGGGCAATCATCTTCTCTGTGATTGTAATATTGTAATATTAGCAACACAATAGAAAGGTTTCTGAAGTTTAGAGGTTACGCTATTTCCCTCCATTTACACTCCTCAGTCTGGACAAATGCTTAATCATGATTTTTGTCCCTCATGGTGGTTAATACAGATAAGATCATTGCTTATTAACCTAGTTTGCAACAGCAGAATGATAGTGTCAGACACACAAAGCTACACTGGAGTTTGAGAGGTGTTAATATAAAACCTCCTACATATTGTTGTCCTACAGTGGAGGACATTTTTATTACTTCAAAGTAAAACACGTTAAATGAAACTACTGAGATGTGCCTCCAAAACAATTCAGAGCAAAGTGTAACTTCTCCTGGCCATCCTCATTCCTTTTGTTTCTCGACCCAAAGAAACATTTATTTTTTATTTTGCTAACTTTTTTATTTGGCAGAGTTGTGGCAATTGCCTTCACAGCCCTATCTCTTGTCGAGCCTTCTACAGATCTGTAATCGTAGGGCCTTAGCTGTCTCAGAGGAATGTGGCTCACAGTCCCAGCAGAAAGGACGGGCCCTCTCCACACCGCCCGCCAGAGCAATCATCTTGTGCCAAGCCCTCATACTGGGAGCACTGAACCCAGTCTCCTGCAGACAGCTGTCACTTCTCTTGCCCCACACAGCAAGACAGAAACACTCCTCTGGTTAGGTTATCCGTTCTGTATTGACCTTTTCTTCCTTTCACAGCCGTCTTACAAATTGTCTAAATTATGTGTTTAAAATTCCCCAGTATATATTTTCTATACTGCTGGCTCCTAAATTATATGCAATGTGTACAATAGCTGGCTGTTTATAGTCAGTTAGTGAGTAACAGCTTCTTTATTTTATGTGATTAACATTTATACTATAAAATGAAATATTCAGATACAAATAGAGGTTAATTCCACACTGAAAGGGAGAAAGATATTTAGGCTGCTGAGCCTTCTTTCCTCACACCTGAAGAACGTGTAACAGATAAACTGCATACTCTATTTTCACATGGATCTGCCCTCTACTCCTGTTTTTCCAGCCCGCACCCTGGCACAGCTCCCAGTGGGACCTATTCATAAAACCAAGAAAAAAGCATACGTGAAAGATGACCCCTAGAAATAACCAATTTCATAGTCAAAATGACTTTTCAATTTGTTTTAAAATTAGTTATGTTTACAAGAGGGCATTGAAAATCACAGTTGGATAATTACAGGAAAAGCAGAAACTACAGTAAAGAAATAAAAAATCAGTCCACCATGTAATCAAAGGCACTCACTGGTCAGCATGTAGGATTACTGGAAACGATGAACCTTACACTTACTAAGATTTCTGTGAAACTCAATCAGGACTGGCAAGGTACTTAGGCATTAAAGGGAGAAACAACTGTGGTTCTAGCAAGTGAAGTTGAATTTTGAGAAACCTACAGTGTAACTTTGAACAAGTTGAGAGTAAGGGCAAGAATATCGCCCCCCTGCTCTGGCAGGTTCAGACTGGCACAGACTTTCACCTTATTAGACCTGTAATCAGAATCACTGCTGTGTGAGCTAGGAATAGGTCTTGGATTTGGTTCAAAACATGATGATTACCAAATGTAGACAAGAGAGGTGTGGGGTAGTTTGTGCCACCTGTTTTCTGGCTAGGCTGTGAGCCACTCACACACTCACTCATCTTGGAAAAAAGACTGCTAACCAGTTAGCTCAGAAACAACTAAAGCAATATGACATAGAAAATTGAATATCTGGAAGGATCTTGAAGGGAAATTGTACACAGCCTAAGAACATTTGAAAATGTTACAAAAAGCAAATGTAGGATAATATAATTTGGGGCTATTTCTGGTGTTTATGTTTAGTTGACAAAAAAAATCCAGCCAATAACCATTAAAAGACATTTTTAAAAGGCCTTTACCAGGTTTAAATGTCATGGACATTCTGTAAGCTTTCTTTCAAAGAACTGCAATTCTGTAATGCCTTTTATCCCTTTCAGCCTATAAGTTGCATGGCAATTTATGTCATTTATGGAGAAAAACAACACTTCACAATGTTATGTGGGGATCCAGGAGTCATATAAACCTTGAAATAGTGAAAAGAAGTCCTCTAACTCCTTTCTGAGAGTTTTTTTTAAGTATATAATTTACCTATGAGACTTCACTGCATTTCTTTTTAAGGGGATAGAAACCCTGCCCTAGAACTAGGAGAAAATATCTCAAAGGATTTGCTTATGAACTATCAATGGTGGAAGCATAATGCTACCCTTTATCACTGCTTGTCACACCGCTGACAGGGATATAAAACTCTGCTTTTCAATTACTGTTTATTTGTCACTTTTTGTGTGACTTAGGTGCTGGCAGGTGGCTGGCATGTATCACACAAATGATTTATTACCTCATTTAATCAGCCATATGAAGGAACAATGATACATTTTTTCCTCTAAAAATTCAAATCAAGCCGCTTCCAGCTTCTTTTGTGACACAGAGCACTTACAATGACACACAGGTTGCAAGTTTTTGTCATTTATTTTTTTTCAAGTGGAAGTGAGATGTGTCTTTGTCATGTCTGTCAGTTATATTTGCTCTTCTTTTTCAGATATTGAATGCAAAACATATTTCAAAATTGTTACCATAAATGCTGCATCATGAAGGGTGGGGTTGTCCTTCAGAGAATAAAGCTAGCATGCTCTGTTTTTTTCAGGCTTTTTTTCTGGATTGGGACTTCAAATTCAAAGTCATACCACTACAATACTGCTACAATTTTATTTTCCTGGGTCTCTGACCATGTACTGTTGCCTTGGCATCTTATCTGCTATATGCAATTCTCACTCATAGCTGAAGCACAGTTATTCTCAGAAAAAATATTTACTGTAGCAGGTGCACGGATGTTCTATTGAACAGACACAACACTGGTATCATTATGCTGATTAACATTTGTCATCAACAGCACTGTTCGACAGGGCGTCTACTGTGAAAGTCACAAGCTAGCGGCACCGTTGGAAGCAATACTAGCTGTGCATTGGTGCTTCACACCGAGTGCTGTCTTGTGGAATTACATCTCATTGCTCCTGTAAAGGCTGGACAAACATGCACTCGTTCACTGGTCTCTGAGCCCTAGATGCCACACATCACCCCAGCTCTTTCCCCAGATGATCGGCGGGGCTCCCATTCGGCAAACAGAGTAACCTCTCATTGATCGTTGGCAAATAGACAGAAAGCCGCGGTTGCTCAAGCAACATGAGCACCTGCCCTGTCCTGCTGGAGTGTTGTTATGCCAGGCTGGGCAGTGCCGGAAAGGAAGGACGTGAGGTCAGCATGATCAATGTAGTTGCATGCAGTCGGGTTGCCATCAATCACTACAAGTGGAGCTCTACCGTAACAAAACAGATCTACCCAGACACTCACACTATTCCTCCCCATGGGTTGGGCTCTTGTGCATAACTATTAGCACATCATTCTGCATGTCTGTTATGCATTAAGGTGGTCAGCACAAAATCTTGCCTCATTGCTGAGCAGGGCTTGGCTGCACAGCTGCCACGTCTGGCCATAGTCATTGCTTCAACATGCTGATGACACAAAGGTGTTGTTCACTTCATGAGCATGCTATAAGGTTTTTTTTTCTGTTTCAATTTGATATATTTCTTGATTTCCTATGTGGGCTGATAGTCAATGGGTTAAATCATCTCATCGCGTGTGTCCAATCAGCTCTTTAACTTCACTTATAGGGTGGTGTAGTGTGGTGTAGTCGATCACGTGTGTTAGAGTCGGTCTTTAATTTAATCCAAATGAAGTGTCCAAAATTGTATTTTTATGCATCTAAAAATATATGATACATGCATGGCGTGAGTAGGGGTTTCTTTTGAGGCTCAGTATACATTCTGCAATGGTGATGATGTAATTGTATAGCATTTAAAAAATTGCAAAAAAAGCGAAAAATAATTGCATGTTACAAGACAGAACAATGGTGGAAAAATGCAACAAACTGAAAGTTTTATCTTCCTATTATTTTCTATTACCTACATAACTACAGTCACGCAAGATGTTTTCTTGTAAATCCTGTAAATATTATATCGAAATGTTTTGTGTATTATACACTGTAAATATAAAGTAAGCAAGTTTTTTTGGCAAAATACGTGAGATTCACACATATTTTATTTCATTCAAGTGTGAGAAACAAATTTGACCACATGCAGTAGGTTGTTTAATTACAGTGATAAAAGTAGAATACAGTTAATGAGCATGATCCATATGCTCCCTTTCAAACCTCAGCACAAATAGAAGCAAGTATAGAAGGTTACAGCCAAGTGGAGCCTCCTTATTGCCATCTAGTTTAACATTCAATGCACAGAGGCCAGTTCAACAATTCAATTAACTGTTAACTGGGGGGACATCTTGAGGGGAGTTAAATATTCATACAATTTAATTTTACAGAGAGAAATTGTGAAGTAGTATCAATTAAGACTAGATTAACACATCACCGATATAATGTCAGATATTTTCCTCATTAAAATTCCCAGTGGCCAGTATCAGCTATAGGTCTATTTTTTTTTCCCACAATCCCCCTGTTATACATGTTATTATACAACATATTATGTATGATATAGCTTATATGTTGCATAAGTTAAGATTTCCCCCATGAAGCTACGTTTGTAGGCAGTTAAAGCTGCACGAAAGCTGGAGATTACAGTGGACTTTTTTCTGCTTTTATTTGCAGAGCATCTTAAAGAACGGTTAGAGGAGTACATGGTACGATTCCCTAAGGTGAGGATCGTGCGGACGAAGAAAAGAGAGGGGCTTATTCGAACTCGACTGCTGGGAGCAACAGTAGCCAAAGGAGAAGTCTTAACCTTCCTGGATTCTCACTGTGAGGCTAATGTGAATTGGCTGCCACCTCTGCTTGGTAAGTCTGACTGTCAGGTACAATAAAGGAAAGCTTATGCCTGAGAAAACTTTTTGTGGGTGAGACATACATTTTAATGCCTTTTCTCATTATAAAACCCAGCAGTCATCTTTGACTGGAAAGAATATTGATGTTTACACCATTAGCTATGGATATTTACAGAATCAGCCAAATATGCAGAACCTTTATTCACAACTGAGATTGTTTTTTCATGTAAGGATATTGAAGGATTTTCCTCCTTGTAAAGCAATCCAAATTTAGGTTAGATGTACACACCGTTTTTTTTTTGTTTTTCGTAATGCAGATCAGAGAATTAAGAGACAGTAAGATCATTGAGCGAAGAGTGAAGTTGCTGTGGTGTCAATGACATCATTCCGACTGTGCTGTTTTCAAGGAGTTATAATTAATATGTAGAAGAAGAAAAAGGTAAATGTAGCAATATGCGGAAGACAAAACAGATACGGCAAAAAATTATTATAGAATTTCTGTGAAAATGGCACATAGTTCAGTATTTAGTCTTTTTGGAAGAGGTGGTAGACGAAACTGTTAAACTTAATAAACGGAGAAGGAAACAAAAAGCACCTCAAGGGACACTTGAGAGACACAGGGACAAATCTCGCAGGGAGAAACAAACCTGTGCCTTGAAGTTTGCTTGCTGTGAAGGCCGGGCTATACTTTTGGTGTATGCTTGCTTAACTAAGGCAGAATAGCATGGTGCATTTATATTTCCAAGGCTCAAACAATCCATACATCAGTGTATGGATTACACAAGGCAGCAGGGGTAGATGAGATTCCCCCTGAGATGTTGAAAGCACCTTTGAGGTGTTGTGTTGTGGTGAATGCGCCTCTCCAATGTTGCGTAAAAGAAAGGCGCAGTGCCTCAGTACTAGCAAGCTAGGGTGCCATTTTAAAATAGGGGGACCGGAGAGTTGGTTCCACCTATAGGGGGTGCACTCTCTTCAGCTCCCAGGCAAAGCATGCAGATGCAGAAGAAACAATTCAAACCCAGCTCTTCACAGAGATTCAACAGGCGTGGTGGTAGTTTGCCAGTCAGGTCTGTCCCTGTTTTGTAGGTCTAGGGAGGGTGCATGTCTGCCTTTCTTCCAATGACCAGCTGTGGGAGGAGAATGAGCTCTCGTTGCAGCGCCTGGCATGCTATGTGCTCCATCTGTCCCTAGAGTTCTTGTTCACGGGTGTTGGCAAGTGGGAGTGTCTTAATTTGATTTGGCTCTGGCAGTGTTGCAGGCAATGTGCTTGTCTGTGGTTGTTAAGCAGAGGCTGAGTTCTCAGACAAAGTTCTTGGTTTACAGGCAACTCTATGTCCTCATCCCCACCTATGGTCATGAACTCCGTGAAAGAACAAAAGGATGATCGCAGGTGTAAGCAGTGGAAATGAGGTTTATTCACTGGGTTTTGGGGCTTATAGATGTTACCCACATTTAGCACTCTCTCTTGAGCTCTACTGGGCACATCCCACTGGAACCACAGGGAAGAGACTTCCAGGCTGGAAGGACTATTATCTCTTAATTGTCTGGGAACAAGAAGAATTCCTCCAGGAGAACTCAAGTCTCTTTTTGAGGAAAATAATATCTGAGCATCCCTACTCTGTATGCAGCTACCGTAACCTAGGATAAACCCAACAGAAATGGACTGATGTATTGACTTCTGTCCAATTTTTAATTTTGGTGTTCAATACAAGTATTAAACATTTACCATACAAGGTATCATACCAGGCTTAAAAACTACATTCTGGTATAATGCGGGGGCAAAATATAGAACTAGAGTAAGACAAAGTGTCAAACTAGCACATTCTGCTGCCAGCATTGGATTATATACATATTTTAAGGCATCTTTCAGTTCATCCATGCCACGTCTGATTTAAATAAATAGAATACTTATGCATGTCATTTAATTAAACTATTTGGAAAAGCATTTCTTTTTTTTTTCTATATAATATTTAGCTGCTGGAGACAGGACATGTGCTCCATGCTGGCTCCCCATTATCGGTATTGTCTGCTTTCTTCTGCAGCACTCAAGTGCATTTAATCTGAAATGTGTCCCGAAAGGCAGCAAGATCCCTTTTTTTCTTTTGCTTTATAATTACTTTGTAATTGTGCCGAAACAATAAAGCTACATCTTTAAATCTTTAATTTTCAACAAACATAGTTCTTCCTTAAATACCAAGAAGCACTAGGGGTAACAGATCTGGGACAGCATAGCAGTACTGAGTGACAAAGATATAGATGGCTGAGGTTTGGGCTGCCTCAATGGAGTAAACCTACTTTGAAAAACTGTAATTGTTTCTAATCACTGGCCAGCTGCATGAAGTCCAGTTCCAGATAGCAGCTTTGTGCAGACAGAAAGAGAAAGGAGTGTGAAGGGGAGGTGTTAGAGGCAGGTGCTCTTATCCTCTACCGGGAAACGCGCAAGTGTCTTGGTCAAACGTGATGGATGGCCTGCCGCAGATGAGGCCCCCTTTTTCCACATTCCCCACTCCTGCTCGCTTTTTTTCCCAACAGACCAAATTGCTCAAAACTCCAGAACCATCGTGTGCCCCATGATTGATGTCATTGACCACAACCACTTCGGCTACGAGGCCCAGGCGGGCGACGCCATGCGTGGGGCCTTCGACTGGGAGATGTACTACAAGCGCATTCCCATCCCGCCAGAGCTGCAGACGGGCGACCCCAGTGACCCATACGAGTAAGACCTCCGGCCCGACACACGTTTCCTTTCCCCTCCCGCTGGAACGAAAAGATTTGGCGCGCCACCACTTATCTAAATATTTTTTTTTTAAGTTTTGCTTTTTTGCGGTCTTAATACGACCGGTTGGTGGAAAAGGCTCAAGTGGTTGCAGTTTCCCTCCGTGTTTTCTGTTGTTTTAAGGCCAAGTATGTTGTACTATGATGTAGGCATGATCTAGATCGATTTATATATATATCAAATTCACTTACAGATTGCATCTGAAAGCAAGCAGACAACAAAGTCAAAGGTTTGTCTGAAAATCAATACAATAGCATTGGTTATGTCTTTCAGGTTCAATTTATGATCATATTTTTAGCAAGACTTATTTACTATTGACTTAACTGTTCACTTCCTGTTTACTATCGACTTAACTGTTCACTTCTGAGTGCACCGCAGTTTTAGTAAGCTTGCCGCTTGTTCTGCTGAGACGGCTTTCGTAAGATTATGCATTCTGCAAATATGTCATTTCTTAGCTTTGTCTTTACTGAGGGAAAACAATGTGGGTGTACTATATGAGAGCATGCATCGTGATTAATATACAACAGAGGAGAATAAAATCATGAAAGTGGATTACTGAAGGAATAATTGAGTTTGCTTTGCATTCCTTTTCAGCACTCTTCATGCTCTTGACATGTCTGCATTTCATAACACAATGCAGTAGAAAGTTAAAGTCAAGGTGCACAAGATGTGAACTGTTGATTTTCCCTCTACAGCAAGCCATTCCTTCTCTCCTGTTGCACAAATGCAGATGTAATGTTATGCTCTTGACCACTATTTTGTAAACAAAAATGTAGGAGCTAAACTAGGCATGTTTGGGTGGTGACAAGGTAAGCCACTAAACACTCAACAAAAAAACAAATGCAGGTTTCAGCACTCGTCTGTTTTTAACCTTTAACTGCAATCCAGTTCTGTTTGTGATTTGTTTGGAAACTCTGTTGCGAAATCAAAATACCTACTGCTTTTGGTCAGATGTGCACACATATCTTTTTAGTCTGTTGATGTGTAATTTCAATAGAATTAAAACGGAGAATTATTTTTCTCTTGATACACCTACGCTTGTAAAGGCTAATTTGTGTTGAGTCTGGCATTTGCAGCACTTTCTTACTGACTTGCATTCACATCCCCCTAGATATACAATGTTAGGCTGATTGGTTCTTTTCACATTGAAAACCTGACATAGAAAAAATCCCAGCAGTGTCTTCCTCAGGTTCAAAGCTCCACCTGGCCAGGTTTGCCCTGGAACTAGGAATGGTGTCCAAAGGTGTTGCAGTACAATGTTTAAAGTTAAAGGAAGGACCCTGTAGGCCAGCTGGAAGATTTTCTGTCCATTTCCAACCACTTACTATGGGTTTCTTATAAAGAACCTCACCTTTTTAATTAATAATAATTCATTATTCCTTACACTTAGATAGCACTCCTGGACACTCCACCCAAAGCTATGTCATAGTGCGCCAGTCCCCTCACACCAGCTCTCAGTAGGGAGGACAGCCAAGTGATGAAGCCAGTTCAGAGATGGGGATTACTAGGCGGCCATGTTTGGTACAGGCAAATGGGAAATTTGGCCACGATGTCAAGGTAACTCCCCTACTCTTTTCAAGAAACACCCTGGGATTTGTAATGACCACAGAGAGTCAGGATCTCAGCACCTTTTTACATAATACTATCGTTTTCACTTTACTGGGGCATTAGAAGACACACAGACTGCAGGGTGAGCCCCCATCCTGGCCCCTCTAACACCTCTTCCAGAAGCAACAAAAGTTTTCCCAGGAGGTCTCCCATCCAGGTACTGACCAGGCTCACACCCACTTACTGTAGCTTCAGTGGGTTGTCAGTTGTGAGTTGTGGGGTGATATAGCTGCTTTATATCTTTGTATCATACAGTACATTACAGAATTGGAATGATACCTGTAGTTGGAAAATGGACAAGGCTATAAGTTACAAAAGCAATTTTTAAAATTCACATCATATATCAAATATTATCTACTTCTTCCATCTAATTTGTTTTGCTTTATTTTAAACATCTGGAACATCAGCAGTGCCGTTAAAGGGGAGAGGAATCCCTTACATTCTAAATTACCATCAGAACCATAAAATAAAATTTATTTCTGTTGCATCCTCCCTAGAGAAAAGCTTTAATATAAAAAAGTACATTTGGAGGCAAGACATGTTTATTTTTCTCTTACATCATAATTATCAAAATACAATTTAGTGTCAGCTGCTGATTCAAAAAGAGCTCACTAAAATGATTTATTATGGGCACAGAAAACAGACGTATTGCATATTAAATGTTCCGGTTTTTGTCTGAAATCAAAAGGCTTTTGTAAGCAAGCAGTTCTCACATGCATCACATCTGACATTCCATTATTCTACCTCCGCAACGTTCACAACTTACAATCTGAGACTGTGCCCTGCATTCTTCCAGCAGTTGCTTGTGCAAAGTGAGCTTGGAGTCTGCCTACATATAATTATACTGTGATGTCTTAGTTATCCATGACCTGATGTAGGGTTGAAACCTTTTTACAATTATGTGTGTATATATAATACATGTGTATCGCCATATATAGAAAGAAGAACAAAACAATCACCTTGGTAAATTTTTTTACCTTTTGTAAAGCAGTTTACTCTTAAATGGTTTTACAGTATCTGTTCATTTTTATGCAAAACATTTATCCCATACCACACAGCATTTAACACATCTACTTACTTGAAAACAATCCTCTGTGTTTTTCAAAGACATAAATGGACAATACAGTTGCTTATTGGACAGCACTGGATAGAAGTTTAGAAAATAATGTTATTTAGTTTAAAATGGTAATGATTCTTTTTTTGTAACCCGTGGAACTACTTAGAAGACGAAGCGTTGATATTGAATGGAAAGGAGAGGAGGTCTCTGCTGCAGTGTCGATAAAAAATGAGAATTCTGTATTTTCTCTGATGTTTGTCTCAGAGCTGAATGTTGACGATCCAGTTTAGTTCTCAGAATCAGTGCTTTCTAGTCGTAGAACCTTGTGACAGTGATACAGGCATTAGTCACAGGTCTGTGGCTGCATTGTTCTTAATCCACTTTGTGTTCAATCCACACCATTAACTCAAAGATCGCTTTCCAGGAGTCAGTGCTGTTGGTTTCTCATTACCCCGTGGGTGTGCTCGGATTAGAAAACAGATACGCGACCATGTACCATCTGTAAGACTTGGTGGTCTGACAACTCAAGAGTGTGGCAAAACATGAAGCGAAGCTTTACTGCCAGCACTACCTGATTCGAATAATTCTCAAAGACGGCGTTTAAATCCTTTCTGCTTATGGCCCTCCACGTTTCATTTTATTTCAAATCTGCCTGCTGTTAAGACCTGACAAACTTCACAAATGGGAAAAAAAAAACAAGCTGCAAACCACCTAATTAAAGCAGAATTTCTTGTCTTCAAGGACCTTAGGGGTTCAGACATGGCTGGGAGGGTGTACAAATAGTGCATTGGTCTGCCACTGCATTATTATATCCGAGACAAAGATAAAGCAGAAAAAAGAAGTAAGATTTCTCCTAATCCATGTTCTATAGTTAATGATAGACCCTTTGAAATAGACATCTTAACCAAATCATGATTCAGAAGAGTTGATTTTGCTGAAGGATTCTATTAAAAACCTTTTCATAGAAGCATATTTGGAAGGCTATGTGAATGCCTGTACCAGGTCTGTTATAGGAAATGAAAAGGCCTTAATTAAGATATTAGAAACAATTACTAGATGAAAGAGGATTTCAATTTGAATCAAAGCTCATTTGATGTGAGATGATATGTGCAAGATGTTAAGATTGTTTTGTGCAATCTACTATGACAATAGGTATATTAGGAAACTCTTAATAAAAGGGCTACCTTTTCCATACTTCTGCAATTATCTTATAAGAGGTGTCTTCAGCTGAAGTACAGAGTCATTGCTTTGGTAAGCTCACATCCCCACCTGCTGGTGGAGCTACATAGGTATACTCTTATAGGTACTGTATACATGGGTATAACCTGCGGAACACAAACTAAATTCAGGTTTAAATTGAGGAATAATACTTTGTATTTAACTATGAATAAAATGATAAAACATTATTCTGCACATTGTCATTTATTAGTGATTTGTTATTTCAAACCTTTCAATATTTGGAGGTCCTCCTTAGTTTTTTTTAATAGAAGAAACTATCTTGTTGTGCTGTAAGTGAAAATCGTTTGTGCTTTAAAATCATTTAACTTAATCAATGTGGATCTCCTGCTGTGTGATACTTTCCAAATTGCATGAGAATCCGTTAGAAGTAAAACCTCTTGAAATTATCACAGCAGTGACTGGATCCATAGATTTGTGTTGAAGGAACAAATTTAAAGGTTAATTTTCTGCTGGAGTCTGATAAGACGGTTGTTCTCCGGTCAAAATAGTCTGGACTCATCCATCCTGCAATCTTATTTTTATACACTTAATAAAATCTTACTGTTCTTGGTTATTTTATTTTCTTTCTTCATTTTCTTGCAGTTGGTCTCGAATGCAGATCCTTTTTGAGCCAGTCTGTTAGAAATGGCAAACCTCTCACATACAGAAAAACAAGAGAACTAATACTATTAGACCAATAAATATATACAGCTTTTTATGAAAACACTAATTCTCACATCAAATGGACTATGTTGCAGCCAGCTGTTTCTAATGGCATGCCAATTACAACACTCATAAAAAGCTATACAAGCAAGTAGTTAGACACCTACAGAGTTAAATTTAGCAAACGTCAAAAAGTAACAAATATGGATATTAGTATGTGGTATGTTTAAAGCATTCTCTAGAATATTTTAAGTGCACTTTGCTCAGAGAAGTATTCATTAAAACTAGAAGAGGTAGCATTTGTGGATGACTATAGTTTAGCAAACAGTTATTAGTAAGTTTGTTTTAAATACACAATGCTGTCTTCAATATACCCTAAGCATAGTTTTTATTT